TATCAATCATATATTTATCATGACCACACTCCAACAAATTTTAAATATAATAATAATAAGTTAGCCGAGCCGAGCCATAAAGTCATTTGGCTCGCTTGTAAATAAAATTCATCAAAGGAAGGAAAGAAGGAAAGGGGAAAAAAAAACAGAGAAAGGAAAAAAAAAAATAGCCTAGCCTAGTCGAGCCATAAAGCCGTTTGGCTCGACCCGGCTCACTGCTTGTGAACAGTAGAGGCAAAGTGCCTCTTTTATATTTAGTTAGATTAGATATACTTCCAGATGGAGTGATTTAACAGTTGAACCACTTATCTCATAAGCACTTAAGAGAATTTACTACTAAGGCCTGTTTGCCTTTTTTTGTTGATTTCGATTATTTTTGGGTGGTACTGTTTATTGAACACACGAACCTAATTTTCAGACCATTCTCCATTTCCTTTTAAGTCTTTTTAAATAATTTTTACCCTTTTTATTATAAATTTCTCAATTTCATCCTAATTTTTTTGAAGTTTTTTTTATGTCTTTTCCCTTCCTACCATCTATATATATATGCCCTCGTTTGGTATTAATATAAATCAAATTTAAATCTAAATTAAATTCAAACAATCAATATCAACCACATATTTTATAGGCCTCACAACTTTTTAATCATACATTTCAAAAACTTTTATCAAAATTTATTAAAAATCTAATTTTAATCCCTAACAAACAAAGGCATATGATTATGCTTGACGCAGGCCCAGCCCCCATGATGTACATGCCCCCTATATCATATCGAGTCTTGCTTAGTGTACAGAAAAATTCTGTCAGACCTTTTATAGGTGACTACTTGTCATTTTAACATTGGTTATTGCCAAAAAAAAAAAAAAAAGAAAGAAAGAAACAATCACTATACAAGTGTTGTTGGCAGCACCTGTATGGAAGCTGTGACTTATTTCCCTGTACAAGGGAAATGACTCGTATCTTTATCTCTATACATAGAATTAAACCATATGTACAAAAGATTTACCAACTCATACATGTGTGGGACCCATTGAAATTGAAAAAAGGAAAAAACTCAACCCCTGCTTATCTGTGAGTGTAGCATGATTCCTATATATAAGACCCTTTGATGAGACATCTTCTAACAAAAAAAGGAGTAAGAACTAGCCAAAATGGCCGCAACACCTGGGTTCCTCACTGATTGGCCATGGAAAAAGCTCGGAAGTTTTAAGGTACTAAACACAATTGATAATTATAATTTCTGTTACTCATGTAAATAATCATACAATAAATACGTCACGTGGCAGAATGGAGTTCCAAAGAAGTCCTAAGTATGGCCAAGTGACAAACTACACAGCAAGTGAATCTAGACCTGCCCCACATCATTCTGCCCACACGATAATTTGGCCGAGCCTCTATTGGCCGAACCTCTTGTCCGAAGCCCCTTGAAGAATTGAGCCCCAATGGATGACATGAGATAGGTAGAGGCGTATTAGGGAATATCTTCATATTAGATCTTGTATCAAGTGGATGATGTGACAACTCACTGAAAATGTAGTCCTACTCAATCAAACAAGTCAAATCTAATCTTAGATGTCAGGACTAGGGTTGCCAGGCCATCAGAACATTAAAGGCGAAATGGCCTATGAATGATTAATTGATGACTATGACAAGAGGTCCCAGCTGTGCGGATGAGGCCACGTGCTTCCTCATCTAACGGCTATTAATCATCATCTTCTACTATAAAAACATACACTTAGCACCATTTGAAGTTAATGCAAGTTTACACATTCAAAACCAACCTTGATTCTCCTCAATCCATTCCATAGCCAACCCCCTCTTTATGCATCCAATAATTACAATACAACTTGTGAGATACTTTGGATTATTCTCCTCAATAATTTCACTTATAAAGTTGGTGATTTGATCTAAGTATGTGGTGATTCGGCTTGTGTGGACGTTAGTTTCTACTTTTCTGTTGGATCATTTTTTGGGGTCAACAGATTGGCGTCGTCTGTGGAAGTCTTTGATACCACAACCACGAACATCCTAGTGGTAAAAGTTGTTTGGAAAGAGCCTTGAAGAAAGGTTTGGTTCTTGAAAAAAGAACCATCGCAAACGAGCACCCTGTAAAAAAAAAAAAGCAAAGAAAGAGTGCCTAGGCTTCCTCCTTGCAAAAGGCTTTGT